ATCTAGTTGCTCACAACTAACTGACAATTAACAACTTAGTAATATATTACAATCTCAGTAGTTGGTACATGTCATAAACTGATTTTGAATCTTAGCATAAAGAAATTCACTTTATTATTTAGCTAAAACTTATTATAATTATTTCAATGTAACATTCAATAATTTTAGTATTTTATAACATAGTACTAATACTACCTCAAAACAAGCATAATGATCTAGTATTAAGCCTAATGTCATAACTTTTGGCTTAATTGTATTTGAAATAATAAAGCCTAAGAAAGCACTATCCTAACTAATCTAAATAAAGTGCAGTACAATAACTACTCCACATTAATAGCAAAATAATACTTTTCTGAAAAAGCATTATAATCCACAATTATAATTTTATTTCTGATTTCTTTGCCTCAGCTCTCAAATACATTTACATCATTACATAACTTGATAGTTATTTAAGTGGTTAAAACATTTGTCAAATGTAACAGTACACACATAACTTATGTTGACAGTTGTTATTTTTAGGTTTTGTCCATATATGTGTGAAATTAATTTTGTAATATAGTTGAAAAATTAAACATTTGGCTATTCTGCATAGCGATAGACATTGAGTATTTCTACAAAGTTTTTTTTCAGTCACTTAAACAAAGTCATACTAGAGAATAAAATGTATTGTAATTTTCCATGCTAGCCAGTGTTAAGATTGTGTGAAAGAAAATAGATTAAGAGTTGTTGATGACAGAGTGAATCAGAGTTCTAAGTGTAACACTGTTGTGCACTGGATACACCAGTACAAGTGCATGTTGAGTAGTTAGTACAGTGTTCCTCCAAATGGCAGTGGGTGCTGCCAGAGAGTCCGTCCTTCTCATGTCATACATACATATAAGTTGGTTGGCAAGTTTCATCAGTTTTTTTAATTTTATTTCAGGAGTGACAGATAGCCTTAGTAGCTCTGTCATAATAAAGATCGGACAAGCAAATTTGGTGAAAATATAATTTGTAGCAATATTTCAGTTACATGGATAGTTGGAATAGCTGAAAATAGCAGTAATCAGAAACTAATATCGAGTGGTTGATAATTTGTAACAGTTGACTTAATCATAATTTTGATTAATTGATTAGTTTATGTAATAGTAATTAATGTAATCTCTAATCATATATAATCAATTGCATTTGAATAATTTCCCAGCTGTACTATTACTGTGGTTAGTGTTACTGGCTAAGGAACATTTGTTTCTAGAGAACATATGATTAACTAATCTTTGTTGTTGTTACTTCTACTGTACCTAAAAAACATTTTGTGATTTTTGTTACATGCTGAAAAAATTAGGATAGGTAGATTGTAAAATTTTTAATTTGATATTATAATATGATTCACATGTATATATCTAACTTTGATGTTTATACACCTGTATGCATCTTTGTGTTTTCAGAATCCAGAATAAATAACTTCCTCAACTTTCAACATGCAAAATGATGTTAAATGAACTGCTATATGTTTCAGTACAGAATTTTTCATGGTGAAAATTTTCTTTGAATGAAAAATAGATGAATCATAGATCTATAAGCATGCTGATAGAAATCACTTTAAAATTGTTTAAATGTTGAATGGAAAATAATTGTTGGGGTCAGCCCTGCAAAAAATGGGGTCAATGTGGCAGTAACCACCTTTTTTTTTTTAAAGTCTTACTGATGAGTGTTAAAGGTAAATGTGGGTTATTACAATTACAGTCTGGTTGAAAATAGATTGTATTTCTGACTGGCATAATGATCCAGTGAGGAAAATGTATCAATTTTACGTTTGTATTGTGTATCATTACCAACAACTTATAAACAAGTCCTCTTAAACTGGAAGATGTATCAGTAATGTAGAAGCTGCTTCAGCCAGTCTTAACTAATCCAACAAAACAATACTACTCTACCACCACCATTATAGTTTTATATATTTAATGTTGTAAGGATTTTAAAATGCACTTCTCAAAATAATTAGTGATAATCAAAGTTTTCTATATTCTAGCTATGACAAGGTGTAACTAATGTTATGAAATATTCTCAAAGATACTCTTTAAGTTCATTGTTATTTAAACAAAAAATATCGAGGTAGCCATGTTCTAACGTGCACATTTCTGTTGCACACAAAAGTGTGGGAAATGCAGCTTATTCTCAGCTGTTTCAACAGCAACAGCACTGTGGCTACATGTTTTGCAAAATGTGGACTTGGTTCAAGGCTACAATACAGTTGGTTGGAAACCTGAAAGTATAGACCATTTTCAACAACTCTCCAAGATGACAGCTCAAAGTGAACCAGAGGGCCTCAGTTCTTCAACTCAACAACTTAGAGCAGGAAGTGGATGACAAATCAGTATGAAAATAGTCAGAAACGATTTCATAATAGTTGGCGAGTAGCATAGTTCTCACCAGACACAAAACACATAAAGGTGAATTTGACCACCAATACTGATCACTGCCCAAATCAGTATGTTGCAACTGCCATACGAGTATCTTAGTTTCATGCAATTGGGATTCAATCTCGTTCTGGGAACTCTTTAAAACTGTATACATCTTCAACTGGTTTCCATGTGAATCATGCTTCATTTGTGAGTAAGATATCTGCCCATATGTCAGTTGACCATTTCCGATATTCTTAAATCCACTGAAGAACTAGGTGGAACTCGTGTCATATGGTGTTACCATATGTTGATGCAGTTGGATAGTATTCTGATTGGTAATAATACGTACCATACTCAGATGCTTAGCAGCTTTCTAAAAAAATTAGGTTATTAAGCAAAGAAACTGGCCAGCATAATCACGAGAATATAATCTGACTGAGCATGTATGATGTGTTTAAAGAAGACACTTGGCAGCACATGTGTTACCTCCAAGTAGTATTTATGGAAGTAACTCTGATGAAAGAGTAAGTAATATTATCCATGCAGCTCATTATTTCACATATTTAAAGCTACATAACCTCTGATTTATTACATAACATATTACAAATTCAAATAGCCTAAAACTGAGTTAAATTGTAATTTAGATTTAGTAGTTAAATAAATACTGATATGTATC